TACCTGTAATACCTACAGCATGTTCTAATCGCTCTAATAGGATATTATGGTCAACAGTATCGAATGCTGCACGCAGTTCGTGGCCTTGTGTAGGAAGAATATGCAGGCAGTTCCTGGAGGATTAAGGAAGTGACACCACTGACTGCCCTCCACAGTCGGCTGACCAATACAATACCTCTGATGCATTTTATTTCAGTCCATCTGATGCTGCAAGGTTTCACCTCAGAATGTCCAGGAGCTCAGTTATGCCTTATAAATATATATATGCCTTATACCATAAACACTACTCAGTACCATTTTGAGTCACTGGAATGCCATTTCCAGAAAACAGACTACTGTGCCTCATAATTGGCAGAATCCCTCTGTCCTCGCCGATTGAGTTGCCACTTTCTGTCTCTCTCTTTCCTAAGCGCTGTACCTCTGTTCTGTCTAATGGCAGTTTGCATAATCTTCACATTGATTTAAACAAAACAGTATTTCTGAGTGGAACCTCGATTGTCTCCAACAGGGTTTAAAGTCAGCCACTCCCCTGGTAGATTTAATATTCATAACTGTACAAGAAGTATATCATGACCTTGCTGAGGTATTTAGTAAAGATCTCACCCTCTCACTTACACCACCACTGCTGCTTCCATATGATTGCACAATCAATCTGCTACCAGATGCTCCATCCATCTCAAGCCATCTATATAGTTACATAACCAATTCACTAGAATAGAATAGAATAGAATAGAATAGAATAGAATAGAATTGAATCATCATTTAATTTAAAACACATATACAAACAAACAGTACACAGGTCACAGAACAGAAAAATACACATTTTGTTTTACATATTTACATCAAGGACCAATAGTTACCAAAAACAGAGTACTGTACAGTTATTAGAATTAAATAAAATTAAATACAGATAAGAGGCAAACCCAGGTTGTAGTGTGAATCGGTTGATAAAATAGTGCAAGTTACAGTGCTGATGTAAACATCTATGTTTGTTGGGAGCAGTTTTGATTGTACAGTACACTAGCCGCTGGAATCATCTGTCACTTAAGACAGTAACACTTCTGTCACTGATTTCTGTGGGATAAACAAAATTACTGTTAAAACTAAATATCCTCTGCCTTTTTTGTCCTGATAATGAACTAATCATTTGATTCAGGTGTGTTGACCCAGGGTGATATCTAAAACCTGCAGGACACCGGCCCTCGAGGCCTGGAGTTGCCTACCCCTGCTTTAACAAAATCAGCTTGAAGCTGATGGTGAAGCTGTCTCTGCTCAGTTTTATTATCTCATGCTGTAATTGTATTTTGGACTTATTGCCAGAAAGACAGCAGACAGTATGTGTTGGCAGTAAGAAATCACCAAAGCAGGGCTGCACTCTGGGCTGAGTACTTTGTCAACTGCTCTTTACTGTGGTGACTGTGGCTGCCAAATTCAGCACAGATCAGATCAACACGGTTGCTGATGATACAACAATATTAGCACTCATCATCATGGACATGCTTTTCTATAGTGTCTGCAGATGTTGTGCTATCAGTGCTCAGGTGTTAACAAACAATGAAAAAGGTCAACTGTACACTATCTCCTTAAAAACAAATTGTTTTTATTAGAAGTGGCCACAAATAGTTATTGCCAGTTCATCTAATTTGTGATGATGATACAAATCATGCATAAACACACATACAAACTCATCAATACTTGTGATGTCAGCAACGGCCATACATTTCTCACTTTTAATTGGACAAGTGCATAATGTATTCGTTATTCTAATTAGCTGAGAAATGTTACAGTCATGTGACTGTCATGTTAAAAGTCTCTTAACAGTGTTAGACAAACTCAACACACTCCTCATACAGGTATGTAGACAACCTAAAGAATGCATATTGTTTGTTTGTTTGTTCATGAGAACAGAGAAAGAAATGTTTTTTTGAATGCTGAAAATTGAAAATTGTTTCAGGGCTGTGACAGGGAGTCATGGAGTTATTCAATGTGACTGTTAATACTATAAGCCACCTTCTCTGCGATTCACAAAAGAACAAATTATGTGTGTTATTATATGTTGTCCTCAGCTCATTTATGCTTATTACAATATGTGGAAATCTTCTTGTGATAATTTCTATAATTTACTTTAGATATCTCCACACTCCTACTAACTACCTTATCCTCTCTCTGGCTGTGGCTGATCTACTAGTTGGTGCTTTAATATTTCCTTTGAGCATGACAGTGACTCTAAAGTCATGTTTGTATAGATTCAGTTTACTATGCACCTTAAGAAGCGCAATAGATGTGATAATGGGTGTATCTTCCTTATTACATTTGTGCTGTATTTCTGTTGATCGATATTATGCTGTTTGCCACCCTCTGATATATAAAACTAAAATGACTGATTGTGTTGCCATGAAGATGGGCCTTGGAAGTTGGGCTGGTGCTATCTTGATTGGAATTTTTGCCTTCCTGATGTTTTTTATTCCAGGCGAATGTGACACAGGTTGCATTTTCACTCTCATTGCATCATCAGTGGTAGCATATTATATCCCAACAATAGTTTTAGTTTCCATGTACATCAAAATTCTTGTTGTTGCACTGAGGCAGGCACGCAGCATCCATAATACAACTTCTGAGAACACAAAGTCTAAAGCAGTTTCCAGTAAGGAGAGAAAGGCCACAAAGACATTAACCATAGTTATTGGAATATTTTTAATTTTTTGGGTTCCTCTTTATGTTAGTTATTCATTTGTTCCTCTGGATAGTTTTATACTTTATGAGGTTCTTGAACCATTTAACTGGTTTGCAATTTCTAACTCAATGCTCAATCCCTTTATTTATGCTTTCTTTTACACTTGGTTTAGAAAAGCTTTTAAAATGATAATTTCTGGAAAAA